AGTATTAGTTAGAAATTTAGAAGAGGGAGACTAGAGTATTACACGTGTGTATCTACTTAAAACACAAACTGATCCCAGTACTTGGAAAATAGAAGCAGTACAGTCAGATATTCAAGGCCATCCTAAGCTCTCTAAGACTCTACCTCATAAAATTATAACAAAATAGCAACGCACACACACTTAACTTTACATGAGATTCTCAGACATATAGGCCCACTTTGTTCCAATGATGCTAAGCCCTCGGTAGGACAGAATTAGATAATGTATATTCTTTTCCTGAGGAACAGGCTTGGAACTTCCTATAGCCTTTCAATGGTAGTAAATTTGAAACAGGTGTTATCACCTGGAATGTTTCCTCTTCTCTTCCAGGCTCCCTATTGCATCCTTTTCTGTGACCCTGTCACACCTGGCACCTCTTCACAATGTTTTCTGCAACAGGAAATCCATCCTGGCCTTGAACTTCCTCTGTAACGGAGGATGACCTTGAATTCCTGATCTTCTTACCTCCATCTTCCAGATGCTGGGACTACAGGTGTGTGCACCATGCCCCACTCCTTTTAATTAACTTCTCTTTAATTGACGTGCTCTTTCTCTATCATTTAGTGCATAGACAAAATTAGTCTTAAATGGATCACCTTTCTTCTTCTTTTATAGACCAATTAATTGGGTAAGAAGAAGAAAATCAAACTCCAGTAGAAAAAAAAACCCAACTTGTTCAACCTTGCATGCCCTTCTTTCTGTCTCCCCAGGAGTACCGTGTCTCCTCTACTGTCTGTGGCTACTGAGAGCTGCCTGAAATGAAGGCTGCACACCTGTGAGAAACTGTGCACTGAAGAACAAGACATGAAAACCAGAAACAATTTTAAATTAAAAAAATATATTTTATATGTATGGATGTTTTGCTTGCATGTATGTCTGTGTACCTGTGCATACCTGGTTCCCAAAGAGCCAGAAGAGGAGGTCAAATGCCCTGGACCACAGTTACAGATGATTTTGAGACATCATGTGGGTGCTAAGAACCTCCCTTCCTATCTGTAAGTCACAGTCTCTCACCACATAAGCTGTCACCATTAACCTTTTCATGTGCATACATCTGGATAAGTCTTCAATGTTATAGGTATTTTATATATTGAGCTCTGCTAAGTTCTAAACCATCTTTCCAGCTTCAACCAGAAACTAATCTTTGTATCCTCAGTTTGTAATTCAAATCTCTGATTAGGTGCTACGTTTTATTTATTCATACTAGAGTTTCTCTTACATTTGATGAGGATTTTCTTATCCGTAAGACCGTTAATCAAAAATTATAACATGAAAACACAAAGGCAGTCTCATCTCGCATCCTTCTGCCTTTCCTTTCCACTCCTACCTAATTTCTGGCCTGTGGAGACTCAGCACCTAGCCTGGTACTGTCGATAGCCTGTCCCATATAAAACCCTACTGTGGCATAAACTGAGGCATCATTTTCCTCTCTCTCTTTATATTCACTTATTTTTATTTTATGTGCATTGGGTTTTTGTTTGTTTGCCTACAAGTATATCTGCATGAGCGTGTGAGATCTCAGAGTTACAGACAGCTGTGAGCTGCCACATGGGTGCTGGGAGTTGAACCCTGGTTCTCTGGAAGAGCAGTCAGTGCTCTCAATTGCTGAGCCATCTCTCCAGCCCCTCATTTTCCTCTCGTATGTGAAAAATTCTGCAACCTTTACTTTTCTCTCTTCCTCCTCCTATACCATTTAGTTATTTTAGGCTCCTCAAGTTGTACCGTGGAAGGTTTGCGCTTAAAGAGGCAGTAGAAATACTCTCACAGGTCCTGGGAAATCATTTTATGGTCTAAGATGGTCAGATAGATCATCAGTAGTGATCCTTAAGATGTTCCCCAGGGTCAATAGGTTAAGTAAAATTCAGGTATAACCTCAAACATCTTTTTTCAAGTTAAACACACTAACACATACACACAGTCAAACAGTATGCAACCATCTGTACAATGGACACACACACGATATATGTATGTATGTGTGTATACAACATTGAAGACTTATCTAGATGGATGCACAAGAAAAGGTTAATGGCGATGCTCTATGTGGTGAGAGACTGGGTGACTGACAGGAAGGAAGGTTCTTCAGTACATTTTTACTTTACTGAACTTTTTTTTAAAAAACCTATCCCATGTATTTACCTATTTGCAATAATTAACCAAAACACAATGATTAAATATAATAATAAAATATAAACATAATAATTAAACTCAAACATAAAAGTTTCATATAAAACAAAGACTTAATAATGTAATGTTCTTAACAGGTGGTCAGCATCAGGACTTTAACTTGTGAATATTAAAATTTTTCTACAACAATCTCTTGCTGTGTTTCCACACTCATGACACACACATTAAATCACCTTCCACTTGGAGTTGTCTATGAGCTAGTCTCAGAGCCACAGACAACCCCAAATTCCTAAAAGCCCCGTTCTTAAGTGCAGTTTTCAAAAGAAAATAAAAACAAACCAATTTCTACAAGTACAAGTCTAAAGTCAGATCCCAATTGCTTCAACTCCACCAAGATAATATTCTTCCTGATGCTGCTCTCTGGACATGACACTGCTTCTGAATGTCAGTTACTGGCTCAGCTGCAGAGTCTGCAACCACTTAGCATTTCCTCCTCCAAAAGGAAAGGTTGTGAATTCACAGCTCCCAACTCGGACTAAAGCAGTTCGCACAGCCACACAGTAGGCAATTAATGCAAGTTAGGTGAACACCCTAAAATACAAATGGAGAAATGAATACCACCTTGAAGAACAACTAATCACTGTAGAACTGGGAACTCAAGACCCTTTTATATCTGGGTTCCCTCACTCTTCTTCATCTAAGAGTAGATGCCAAATTTTGTGCATAAAAGATGCTTGGTTAAATTTATCTCCTAGATATGACATGATCAGAAAACAACCAAAAAAATACAAACACAAAACATGCCAACTATGTTTATCCCAGCACTTGGGAACCTAAGAAACAGAAAAACCACAAGTTCAAGGCTAGCCATTGCTACGAATAACAACACCCCTCCCGGAAAAAAATCCAAACTAAAACCAATAATCCTCATATACACTATAACACATACCTTGCAAAGAGACAGTTAAAAAGAGACCTCTAAACAGATCACTTATATTTTTAATTTACACACATTAACATAGAAACCCTCTATCTGTTCATCAGGGACAGTTCTAGAAATATACAAAGTTTCAAAAGAACGGTAACCTCCACTCCAAACCCAAAATACAAACATCACAAGGGTTATTCTCAAACATTAATACTGATTTCAAATATTCCAAGTCTTGAAACACCAAGATGCTTCTTTATCTTGTTCTTTATTTTGACTTTATTGTAAATATCCTGGTAATTATCACACTAAAATTTTTACAATGGAGTCAGAGACTTTTTGGCATGGGACAAACAAATAACTTGCTCCCTTTTTTGTGTGACACATGCCAAGACCAACTACTCTACATTTTTAAAATTAAAAAAAAAAAAATTAGAAAATGACAAAAATCTCATGTAGCCTGAAAAACCTAAAATACTTATGATTTGGCCCTCTGTGCAAAAGTCTGCCAACTGTCTGTCCACTTCTGTGCAAAAGTCTGCCAACTGAGTGATTTCTCCACTGCTGTGAAGAGACACCATGACCAAGGCAACTTGTAAAATAAAGCATTTAATTAGAAGCTTCCTTACAGTTTCAGAGGGTGAATTCATGACCATCATGGCACAGATCAAGGCAGCAAACAGGCAGGCATGGCACTGAAGCAGGAGCCGAGAGCTTTCCTTTGATCCACAACTGGGTATGATGTAGGCTTTTAAAACCTTAAAGACCACCCGCAGTGACACACCTCCTCCAAAAAGGCTCACACCTCCCCTAACAACACACCTCCTGATCCTCACAAATATGTTAGGGAATGGTTTTGTGCACTGGATATTCAAATGCTGATTTTTGTACCCAGAGATCTGGTTGCAGTCTGGACACTGCCATTGCCATTTCTAAGAAGCATCATCTGTATCAATGTTATATAAAAATTGTTCTCCATCACCTCTGATTGGTTAATAAAGAGCCGAAAAGCCTATAGCTGGGAGGAGAGTTAAGGCAGGGTTTGTGATCCCAGGAGGAGGAGAGCCAATGAGGAGACTGTCATGGGGACATGGATGGAGTAATAGCAGCCACGGCAAGACTAGGTGGTAGATAATGGGGCAGGACACGTGCTTGGGAAATAGGGCAGGCCAGCATAGTCAGGTTAGACCAGAAAATGACCCGTTCACAGTAAATCATCAAAATCCACAGTAATTCACTTATGCATTACTTTGGGTTTAATCCATTACACCATACAGACCCAAGAACAGTGATCAGGGCCAGGGGCATGACTCAGACAGTTCTTGCTAGCTTGCTGCAAGAAGCCTGGTGACTTGAGTTCAATCCCTGGAACCCATGAGGGAACTTATTCCCAAAGTTGTCCTCTCATCTCCAGACATACACTGTGACACCCATGAACCTGCATTACCTTATCTTTGACTCCTGACAGTCTTCTGTCTCCCTCTCTCACACACAAAGATCTTTTATTCAGAATTTTTGCTTTGTTCATAAATATTAGCTCCCATAGCCAACTAAATCATGGATCAGAATAATAGCACAGCACGAAGCACATTATAGAAGCTCAAATACCACACAGAAATTGCCAACACAATGGTGTTTCAGTTATAATTCTTGTCTACCCAAAGAGGTGTTGGTAAAAAAAAAAACCCTTTTCTCTTCTGAAAACATGTTCAACTGTTAGGTTAAGCAGGCTTGTGTTCTCATATTATACAGCCCATATTTCGCTTGGTTACAAGAAATATCAGTGTTCTTTCTCAAATCCTCTCAAGTCTACTCCAGGTAAGACAGACCTATCTAAATAGCTAGCATGTATTTCACAAATGAATTTTCTTAGAGAGATCTCCTCATAGTACCTAAAAACATAACTTACTCAAGAGCAGGCCTCAGAACTCTGACTTTTAATGCTTCTAATATTCGATTTAACTCCACAAATGGTTCTTTCTGACTTGGGTCCACAGACAGACCAGACTCCTGAAAGGAAAAAGCAAAACAACAACAACAAAAAAAAAATTGTTAAGAAGTGTTTTCATTCACAGTAGGAAAAGCTGATTTACATATAAAATACAGAGGTGTCGTCATTTCCTTATGACATACACCTCTGTGGCAGAAATGGAGATGGTCCCACCGCTCTGCTTCTGTCAAATCTGAGCTAAACACATGGCCATGGACTACAGCGGGGTGTGGGTGTGGTTCTGCATGTTCAGGCTAATGCATAAACACATTCTTCCCTGGGTTACAAAGTGTAGCTGGAGGTCTGGCCACAAGAAGAGAACACACTGGAAACTGCAGAGCTGTAAGGAGACTTCATGCTGTCCTATCTGACAGAAATAAGATGAGCAATGCCCATCTCAAGTAAATTTTAGTTTGAAATTCATTTGATATAGTTTCACTACATTAGAAAAACATTAATATTTTTGTTTCTTTCCTCTTCTCTATTATATTAACGTTCTTTATTAAAACAGAAAATAGGGGCAGCATAAATGATGCAAGCCAGTAACTATAGCAATGAGGAGGCTGAAACAGGAGGATCAAGGCCAGCCTGGGTCACATAGGAACAGCGTATCACTTTTGATATGTTGACTCATGACTAGGAACCAACCTAACAGATTCAGAATAAAGAAACAACACTTAAACTTTCAGTGTAATTTCTTAAGGAAAGGACAGTTCAGGTATTAAACTGCAGTACTGAAATTTCTAAGAACTTAAAAGTTTCCTAGCAAAAGGACTTACCCATGGCAGTTAAAATATTGCAAATCTATCTCTAGTTTAAAAAGTGCACACAGAGTCCCACCTGCAGACACTGCGAACTGCACAGCTACCCCATTTGCTTGTCCTATGCCTCAATGGCTCGTGCTTACCTGGCAGAGCTCCTCAGCTACATCCAGCATTCCTTGTCGGAAGAAATGTTCCACCATCACCTCATTGAGAAGCCTTTGGCTGTCTGCTTGCCAGCAGCCATCTATTCCCACACTGCTAATGTCAGAATCAAAATTCTGGGGGAAAAATAAAAAAGAAAATCATGTAGAGATGACTTTATTTTTTCACTCCACCTAACATAAAGAAACAAAGGTCTACATCTTTGGTATTATCAGTAAGTACCTAATTCAATTCATCTATACAATCATAGGCAGGAATTTTCCTAGTGCAGCTTTTAAATCTTTTCACTCTTGGGCATTACTGCTAGAATGAACAAGAACATTTTAAAAGGCTGGGAAGCACACTGGGAAAATATACAGATTTAACACTGACTTCAAATAAACCACTTTCTGGGCATTGTACTAAAGCAGTATTTTCAGAAAAGCATGCTACGGTAATCTGTTAAAAGCATGCTCAATACAGCACTGTATGAGATGTGAAGGACAGAAACACACACACACTCTCTCACTCATACACACATCTCCATCAACATAGGACTACGAGAAAACTGAGGTACAACTCAACAACTGCAGTTCTGAGGCTGGGACTGAAGAGACAGGTAGCGAAAGAGCAGCTTACTATCAGTGGGCCTACACTTGAGCTATGGATACATAGTTCTGACCCCACCAAGCATATTACAGACTTTGAAAACGAAAGTAAGGTAGACTGGCTACTTAAAAGGACACAATCAAGACAACTGTGGCTGGGCCATAGTGGCTCACACCTTTAATCCCAGCACTTGGGAGGCAGAGGTCAGTGGATCTCTATGACTTTGAGGACAGGCTGCTCTACAGAGTGAGTTCCAGACAGCCAGGGCTACACAGAAAAACCCTGTCTTGAAAAACAAAAACAAGACAACTGTGAGCCTAACTAAAACTGCAACCCACAAGAATGGCATTCCCATGGTGGAGGGCAGCCCAAGTTTGTTTGGCATACAAGGAATCAAGCACAGTCCAAATGATACCGGAGAGGAAGTGAGAAGCACCAAGTTCAAAATGCAAATGCTGAGATCCAAGACTGCCAAGCTACAGAGCCCCTATGGAAGTCAGAAAACAGCTTGTCCTCTCTTTCTACCAGATGAATCCTAGGGACAAAACTCAGGCTTTCAGATTCTTTGTGGCCTGAACCCAACCTCAAGGACACATAGTAAAGAATTAGAACTCACTAGAGACACCAAAAAGCAGATACAAGGTTGCAGTGCAAGAAGCCAGCATAATGTACTATACACCTATTATCCAGTTTGAACAGAAAAACTAAATTTAGGACAAAACCAAATACAAATGGACAGAGCCCCAACAATCAGGAAAATAACAAAAGATTTAGTATGTGCCATCAGGGAACCAAAGGATGGAGAGGGGAAAAAATGCCAGAAAAATACGCTCAGATACAAGAAACTTAGGGAACGCCAAAAAAGGACAAGCTCAAAGAAATCCCATTCCAGAGCATAAAAATACTAACATCTAAACAAAAACAAACATGAAGCAAAGCCCAAGGCAACCAGCTGAGAAAAATGGCCTGTTGAGCTGAAGAGATGGTTCAGTAGGCCTAAGACTGGTTTAGACCCCAAGCATCCATGTAAAGCTGAATAGAGTAGCACACGTCTCTAATCCAAGGACTCCTATGGCAAGATAGGAGGCAGAAACAGTACAAACTCCAGAAGTTCAAAGGCCAGATAGCCTGGCACACACAGCAGGGAAAAAGAGACCCTATCTCAAATAAGGTGAAAGTTAAGAACATCTGAGGTTGGTGTGTGCATGTCTAAAGATGTAAAAGAAAACTGACCTGTTACAGAAGGACTATGATGTTAATGATTATTTCTCGACAGAAACTGTGGCATTTAAAAGGGTAAACTAGAATCAAAGGAAAAGGTCAGTACTCCAGAATTATATATCCAGTGAAAATATCCTTCAGAATGGAAGATGAAGCAAGCATCCTCATTTTGGCAGATTTACATCAAAAGCGAAGAAAGAAGCCAGGTGGTGATGGCACATGTCTTTAATCTCAGCACTCAGGAAGGAGGCAGAGGCAGGCAGAGCTCTGTGAGTTTGAGGCCAGCCTGATCTACAGACCTACTTCCAGGGCAGCCAGAGCTACACAGAAAAACCCTGTCTCAAATTGTGTCATTGTCTCAAAGTTTTCTCTCTGGTTTACTTTTGCCTTCTTTGCCTTGCATAGGCTTGCCCTTAAAATAAGTCTCTACTGCTTAAAATTTTTTAACTACACAAATCAATGACACAAGATCATCTGGATATAGCTGAAATCACAATTCTAGGCAACTATTGCTTAACTAGCCCAACCAATGATACTAATCTAATGTACAGAATATATATATATATATATATATATATATATAGAGAGAGAGAGAGAGAGAGAGAGAGAGAGAAAGACAGTAAGTAAACCTGCAACAGCAAAATGCAAGCAACCTATGGTCTCCAATGACCAAAAGAGTGTTCTTTTTCAAAATTGAGCACATTTTTCCATAGTGATCTTTCCTGGTTTTAGGTGTCCATGCTAAAGCCCAAGTAAACACATGAAAATCTCGAGTCACTCAGGTAAAATGAAAGCCAAAACCATCGTATTATTATGTCTTAATTTTATAACATGTACCTTTTCCTCATTTTTAATTTTTATTTACTCTTTGACAATTCCATACATGTATATATCTACATCATCCTCACTGCCCATTTACTCTCTTACTGGTACTTCTGGACCACTTCTCCTAGTAAGTACCCTCCTATTTTGCCTTTTTTAATTTTTTCTTATGACCCAGGAATTTAACTGGGGTTATTTGCATGAACTTGAATGTGAGGTTACTTATTGGGTAATCTAACAATGAAGAAAAATGACTCCCCTTCCTCTAGCAGCTATTGAGTGCTAAAAACTCCTCAGATAGCAGTGGGGCCTCGGGAGCCCTTCCTCACTGTTACTTCCTAATAGAAATCTCTTGTACTAGAACTTAACCTAAGCCATGGAAAAACACAAACTACCCAGCACTAAAATGATGCACATATGAGCTTATGGTCCACAGCACTGATGAACCACAGTCACCTAGGAGTTCTGAGTTTTACTGCTATATATCAGAGACTACATTTGAGAGCTGATTTATGGCAGGTCATCGGGATTTTCAATCAAGACAATTTATATGTGTGCTGTCTTTAACAACTAGAACATTGCAGTGGTGGTATTTTGCGTTTCTTCTGGACTCAACAAGAAACCCACAGAATGATGGGGCTATTTTGCTCCCCAGAGGCCATTCAAATGAATAAAATAATGGGCATCTACAGATGTAATTTACTTCAGACTCAGAATCTGCCTATAATTCTCCACATGCCTAAACTTACCTAACAAGCAATAACCACACTGACTGAATTACACCCTACACTGATCTGTGAGCAAACACAGCCCCCAGAGTGCTAGTCTAACAATTACTTCTCAATCTTATCAATCTCCTATAAATTTGTCATCAGGTATTTAATTCCCTAGGAGAGAAAGAAAACAATCATGGAAAATAAAATTGCTTTCAAAGATATTTTTACTTCTTCCTTCTTTTTTTTTTTTTTTTGAGACAGGGTTTCTCTATATAGCCTTGGCTGTCCTGGACTCGATTAGTAGGCCAGGTTGCCCTTACACTCACAGAGATCTATCTGCCTCTGCCTCCCTGAGTGCTGGGATTACAGGTGTGTGGCACCGTGTCCAGCTGTTACTTCTTAATATATATTATCAGTTTGCTTGTTTTTTTGAAAACAGGGCCTCATGTAGCCCAGGTTGACCTCAAACACAGTATGTATTAAAAGATGATCTTGAATGTTGTTTTTAACAAAAGGTCAAGCATTCAATTTTTACCAATAAAGACTCAGGAATGCTATATGCTGGGTTGAAAGCCTGCTAGCTCAGAGAGGCAGAGAAAGCACCTAGCTGACCTTCCTCCTCAACCAAAGTCCCAAAAGGAGCAAAAGGAACCTCTCCCTTTCCACAGTCTCAAAAACTCCTCAAACTGAAAGTCCCTATCTTCTCTTCCTATTAGTTTATCCATCCTCCTGGTTTCCTCTTAATCTCTATGGTTTTTCTCGGTTCATTCCCTGTCAACTGGCTGTTTGCTCCACTTGAACTATGGTTGGTTTAATTTAATCCTGTCTTGGACTAAAGCTATGTGATAGATAGGGCTGACCCACACCACAACTAGAGGTTTTTCCATTAACAACACAATCTCAGGGTTTACAGTGTGATCAAATATCCTGCGACCCTTGAACCCCTGACCTCTGGCTTTCTTCACATTGCAGAGATTATGAATATACAGACACCATGCCTAGCATACTATAAAAATTTTAATAATTATTGATGAAAGACTACACTTCCCAGATTCTCTTGAGTACTCTAGAAGGCATTTCTGCCCACATCCCATCTTCCTTTGTAGACATTTTGGCCATTCAAACATGTGGGTAATGAAGATGGACTTTTGTCGTGACACACCAAGCCTCTCTCTTTCCTCCTCTCATGCTACAGCTGCTTTTAAAATAATATAACAGTTACCACCAACCATATCTGGTCAAATAATAATAAAATTCTTTGGATAATTAATTTTCTTGAGATACATACTAAAATTTTCTTGAGATACACACATAATACAACTTAGTAAAGTTGATTACTAAGAACAATTTTAAAAGTCTAGCATTTAACAATGTTATGGAGTTTTACAAGGATGACCTTCATATCTTTACTTTCTTAAAGCTTACTACGGTTAATGCTACATGAGTTTAAGAAAAACAGAACAGCCCTTACAGTAGGAATCATCTTTAATCACACTGTAACTTTGTAACATAGTTAGTTGTTCATCTTGGAAAGTAAGCAAGAACAATGTGTGTTTCTGAGCTCCCTTCTACCACTGGGTTTTCACTTTAAACAACTAAGAAGGAAGACCGGAAAACCTTTCAGTTTATGTTCTGGTTGCACATAAAAAAAAAAAAAAAAAAAGCCAAAATTATAAATGGATGTTGTTGAGAGGATGAAGTACAAGTCAAAGTCCCTTTGCTATCACTGCAGGTTCTTGCTCATTATTGCATCAGAGTTGGCATTCCTT